CACACATCACCACTGCTTTCATGGGCTTTCTTTTCATACACAAAGCTCGAGTTCCTGCCACATCTCTTCTGTTTTCAGCAGTTTTTTTTGTCTTCTGTTTTGGGTTGTAACTTCTGTTGTTTCTAGCTGATGTAATTCATAAAGAAGGTGTGGAATTGCTCCTTCTATTCAGCTTGAAGGAGTGCTTAGTTCTTCTGCTGGACGTAACCAGCAATGGAATTTATCCACCATGTAAAATACTGCCTTGGTGACAGCCATTAAATCCTTCCAACATAACTGTTTTCCCTTTCTCGTTTCCTTTTCTTTACATGCAAATAAAAAAATAATAATCCTGAAGCACGTTTTATTTAAAACTCTGCTAGAGTCCTAGCTGTGTCTCTAATCTACAGATTGAAAACTTTTTCCATATAGCTTTTTAATGTGCTGCCTCTAATACAACATCCCAGTATTGCCACATCTTGTAAAATTCTGTCTGCAATTGTATAGTTTCGTCAGGACTAGCTGATTTCTGCTTTAGTTTTCACTTGCCTCCAAATATACATGGAATACAGTACCAGTTAGTGCAGTCAGTCTGTTGCAGTTTGCACTGCTGCTTCTTGGAAAATGCCACCGGGAGCTGGGCTGCGGGAGTAGCTGAGGTGATAAAGCCACTGGCAGCTTACAGCATGACTTTTCCTTTTTTTTTTTTTTTTTTTTTGGTACTGAAGGAAGCCTGCTCATATTTCCACAAAGAAGGAAATCAAACTTCCTTACTTTTGAATCACTTTGTCCCTTCAATTATAATTCATGAAAGGGAAGCATTTTACCTGCGTTGAAAACCAACCAGCAGAGGTTGCCATTGATTTTTCTGTTCCCTCTTACCTGCTTAGCAGTATCTGGATTTCTTGTACAAGACCTGAAACATTTGGCTGACGTGAGGGCTTGTTATCAGAGTTCGGTACTCTGAGCACAGAGTAATAGGCACTGCAGTTTTGTACATCAGCTGGATCTGACCTGTCAGCAAGGTGACTCAGTGGTCACCGTAACATTTGGAAGCTTTAGTAGTTACCAATATTCAAATCTCTATTGAGCACGATCCACCGAGCATGTAGTTTCTGTGGTCCACTTAATTTTAGGCTTTACCTTTGCTTATCTAACATGCCCTCATGTCTTTGAGACATTCTGACGTACATTTTAAGATGTTTTGGCCCTTTGTGTCTCAGGTGACCACCACAAACTGGCCCAGGGAGGGGAGGGAGAAGTACTGGTTGCTGCCATGCCTGTGCACAGCATTGTTTGTTCGCCTCCTCCTCCCCCATAGGAGGAGTGGGAAGAGGAGGAATAAAAATTGCTTCCTATTGTTCCGCCCGTGGTATGGATAGCTGTGGCTTAAAGCTGTACTCGGGGACTAATCTGTTGTCGCAGCCATTTACAGTTCTGAGGTATCAGAGTGATTTTAATTTTTTCTTAAATCCTTCGATGGAAGAATTTGGAATTATCACATGCCGTTATTGCAAACCACTCTCACACTGCTGCATTTTATGCTGCTTCGCATTTCTACAGGCTTGTCATTCAGCCTTGGATATTTGCTCCAGGCTATACTCAAAATACAAGATGTTAACCCAGGAGCAGCTTATTAAAATTTTGCCTGTGGTTTGCCCTGGAACTAAAAGAATTTAAATCACTGTAGTTTCTAATGACTTTGTTAAAGCCTCCGATACCATTCTTGACACGTGTATTTTGCTGATTTGTGGCTTAAAATACTGTTCAGTGGTTGGTATTTTGGTATCTAAATTTGCTCTTTCTGTGTCTAAGGTTGTGTGGGGTGCCTATGTAAGATAACTTTGATGATTGTACTTCTGTTGCTGGTTTTATTTTTAGGTAGTATGAAGTAAACTAAAGTTCTGAGTCCTTAATCGGGGCATAACAGCCATCCATTTGCATGAACAGAGAGGCCAGATAATTGGGTTAAAAAGTCTGTGCTTTGAAAAATAATGTTAAAAGTATTTGTATTAAAACCGATGTTTGCAGTCGGTTGGAGCAATTAAAAATTGGTACAGTATTGAAACCAGTTGCAGGTGAGTTTTAAAATAAATCTGCCTTAAGTATGAAAATAACCAATTTTTAGGGGACTGTAATTTTGTCTTTTAAGCAGGACAAACTTTGTGTCAAACCATGACAAATACACATTGTAAATGTTTAGCTTCGTAAAATAAGAGACATATACGAAATTAGTAATCTGAGAATAACTCTTAATAAATATTTTTAGCTAGGTGGTGATGGCATTTTGTAAAATAACCTGCACAGGTATAGTCCGTTGGGTGGACCCGAGTTTGATTTTTTTAATTGGAGAGTGGGGGGGGAATTGGGTGTGTATATCCTGTGGACTTCAAACATTATTGCTTTGGCGTTCCGTGCGGCTTGTCCGCTCTGAGCTGGAGTTCAGCAGTTTGAACGAGAGGGTCGCAAGACTTTTTGTTTTTTACGCTCTCCCCCCTGTAGATGAATGTAAGCTTCCAGCCAGTGCAGGGCATAGCTGAGTAAAACGTAACACTTTGTGTCAGACTGAACCTTCTCCTGCTTCCTTCCGGCCTTAATGTGTGTAAATTCTCATCTTTTGGACTGTACTAAGTGCAGGTGCCCAGGCTGGGCTGACTGGCTGGGGGGCTGCACGGCTGCCCTCCTGTGAGGAGCGGTCGGGGCTGCCCCATGCTGGACACAGACGGTTCCAGCCAGTTCCAGCCAGTTTCAGCCAGCTCCAACCAGTTCCAGACAGCTCCAACCAGCTCCAGCCAGTTCCAGCTGACCGACAGCAGCCCAGCCCTGCAGCCAAGGTGGTGGCACCTCGGGGAAAACCTGTGTAAGACAGGGTGGAAAACACCACACAAGCAGAGGAGGAAGGGGCAAAAAAGGAGTGAGAAACAGCAGAGGGAGCACTGCAGCTGAAGGAGGGGGGGGAGGAGGAGGAGGAGGAGGAGGAGGAGGAGCAGGAGCGGACTCAGGTGCAAGCAATAATTTCAAGGGGGAAGGAGAGAAATAGCGACAGAAGCTCTAGCCGCGCCACAATAACTAGGACTCCCCTGTCAAGCAGTTCATCGTAGCGGCTGATAAGGATGCGTGTAGGTGAGAGATTGCTATATTGCTTTAACGAAGAATTAGAGAAAGTAGGCATTTTATACGCGCTCTGTTGCTTATAGGTGAAGGGAATGAATAGCCGGAAATATTCTGGGATGTTATAAAATCAAAAGGACTTTCTGTACAGCGTGGCGATGCATGACAGGAAATTAACTCCAAAAAGAATGCTTTTTCTCAAACTGCTGCACCAGAATTGAGAATTTTTCTTTTCTAGTATGTGAAATTCCTCCTGAAGACACAGCAAGGACTATCAAAAACATCAGAGAGATTCTGGTACTTTTAAAGAGACTTAAAGCAAATGCCAGCATAATATCTGAATGACCTTGGAGATCATTTTATGTGGATTCATTAATTTTCACTGCCAGTCTTCTAGTCTCAGGAACTCTAGGATTAAAGATGGTTTTAACATTTTAGCGGCCTTCCAAAAAACAAGATTGTATACAATTAATTACCTGCCTAATGATTCCTGAACTAATCAAGCATTTACTTAAAACTGAACACAGAAGATGCTTTCTTTTAACGTTCGCTTTCCCCGTAACTGCAAATAAAATGAACAAGGTAATGTCCTGCAATTAGAAGAACGTTTTTTTAAAGCAACTATTTATTATGCTGATCGTCTCATAAATATAGAAACCCTAAAACTACGTAGAAGATGAAGCTGAATAACACAATAATGGAGTAGTAAACAATGGCAGCTTTTCTAGTCAAATCAGCATTTCATTAGCTTCACAGCAGAATGCAGATGGAAGTTTCTGTTCTCGTTGTGTGGGGGTTTGTGAAATGATTCAGGTGTTGCTACAGAGGTGAGCAATATCATGGATATACCTATGAACTTCTGTGTACTGATCCACTGTAGCAGATATGGCAGAGTTTCCAAAGATGGTTATTTTAAATTACCATTGCTGAAATTAAATTCAAGAGGATTTATTTTGTCTGTGGGGACCTTGAGTTATGCTTCTGGCATTAATAATTGTAATGGACTATAACTGTTTGAAGGAATTGTGAATATTTACATAACTCTCCAAATTCTATTCTTAAATTATTTTCACTTTTAAATGAATAGACACGATCTTTCTCATTGTATGTGAGATGTATGTTTTCTTTCTTGGGAGTCAGAGGACAAAACTGCCTTGTCCCCCACCTGACTCCCTCCAAATAAAATTCATTATTCATACCCGAACAGTGGTGAGTCTATTGGAATTAACCTTGACAAAAATGTTTTCCTTACCTTTCCAATGAATAGCATGGATAAGATGGAGTACCATCTCCTGAATGGAGCCAGAAAAGACAACATTAGACGATGAACTTTTTCCTTTACTCTCCAGTCAGTCTGTGATTTAGATTGAGACATTGAAAAGATTATCCCTAGTAACTGCTGGTCCAGGAAACCTGAGCTGCACTAAGGTTCCTCCTGCCCTTTCTCAACCCATTATATTCCAAAGTAAATTACTTTCTCAGGAAAATAAGCAGTCCGAGATTCCCCCCCTCCTTCCCTACAAAATGAATGTGTCTCTTTTTTGTCAGTTTTTATTTCCATATTTCACAGTACCTGTTTGTTTTAGAAGTGCCTTGTGTTTGCTAAAGATTGGTCAAGAGCACTGGAGGAGCTGATCGGTGGCCTTTCTCTTTCTGGCTTTTTTTTTTTTTCTCTTTTCTTTTCTTTTTTCTTTCTTTGTTTCTTTCTTTCCTTAAAGCTAAGGTGTGCCAGAGGTGATGCACTGATGCTGAGGAGGCATCAACAGCTATGGGACTGTAATCCTCTCAAATGTAAGCACTGGCAGTGTCTACAAAGAGAGATCGTGAGACGCTGAAGCAGAGTTTAGCTGCTGTTAAGCAGGTCATCTGCTCACTAAGGCTCAGATTGCAGTGTTCCCTAATCACAAAACATGAACCAGTCCCGATGGATTGAATGGAGGACTCTGAATATGAGCAGTAGTGTTATGAACAGATCTGAGCATCTCTCCTGCCCTCTTGGATTTGGTCACTACAATGCAGTTGACATCTGTATCCTTGAGACAGTTGTTATTGTCTTGCTAACATTTTTAATTATTGCGGGTAACTTAACTGTGATATTTGTTTTTCACTGTGCTCCACTTCTGCATCATTATACCACCAGCTACTTTATTCAGACCATGGCCTATGCTGATCTTTTTGTTGGAGTTAGCTGCTTGGTTCCTACTTTGTCACTGCTCCACTACTCGACAGGTGTCCACGAGTCCTTGACTTGTCAAGTTTTTGGATATATCATCTCTGTGCTCAAAAGCGTATCTATGGCATGTCTTGCTTGCATCAGTGTGGATCGCTATCTCGCTATAACAAAGCCTCTCTCCTATAATCAACTGGTCACACCTTGTCGCTTGAGAATCTGCATCATTTTGATCTGGATATACTCTTGTCTGATCTTCTTGCCTTCCTTTTTTGGTTGGGGAAAACCTGGTTACCATGGAGATATTTTTGAATGGTGTGCTACCTCCTGGCTAACTAATGCCTATTTTACTGGCTTTATTGTGTGCTTACTATACGCTCCTGCTGCCTTTGTCATATGTTTCACGTATTTCCACATCTTTAAAATTTGCCGGCAGCACACCAAAGAGATAAACGATCGGAGAGCTCGATTTCCTAGCCACGAAGTGGATGCTGCTGGGGAGACTGGGCACAGCCCCGATCGCCGCTATGCCATGGTTTTGTTTCGGATAACCAGTGTGTTCTACATGCTGTGGCTCCCTTATATCATATACTTTCTGCTGGAGAGCTCTAGGGTGTTGGAAAACCCAGCACTCTCCTTCTTAACAACATGGCTTGCTATAAGCAATAGTTTCTGCAACTGTGTGATATATAGCCTCTCCAACAGCGTTTTCAGGCTGGGACTGCGGAGACTGTCAGAGACAATATGTTCATCTTGTATGTGTTTAAAAGACAGGGATGTACGGGACCCGAAACCAAGAAAACGGGCTAATTCCTGCTCCATTTAAAGAAAACTGGCGCATGTAATCAAATGTGGAGTTTTGATAGTATTTGCTGTATCTGGAAACTCGCCAGAAGAGAAATGTTTACTTGAATAGTTTGCTATGATGTTAGAGTGAGTTTAAAAGTGATTGCAAAAAAGGAAAAGGCTGCTGTAAGAGGGGTCACTGAACTTGAATATAGCTCTTGTGAAATTCTGAGGAGAGCAATTCAACAGAGACGATGAAGAAAGTCGGAACTAAAAATCTTCCAAAGGGCATGAAATAACTACCACATCAGAGGAGGTTCCTCATAAAATACATTAGTTAGTTACTACCTTACATTTTCCCCCTTGTAGAAAAGTTGTCTTACTATCTTTGTGTCAGAATATACTGTAGCCTTATGAATTTAAATATATTTAAGAGGAAACAATCAACAACACAGTAAGTGGCTATCCATAAATTATATACCTGAGGACTATAGTAGATATTGCAGATTAATAATCAGCTCTATCTCTGCTCACATCTTGTACAATTTTCAGTTGTACAAATAATCCGCAGTGCATAAAACCTACACTGGGCATGGCGCTTTCGGATAAAACGGCACATTTTGGTACAACTTTCGCAGAAGCTCTCCCTCTCATTTCCCCTTTTTTTTGCTCCCCCCATACTGCGCATCCCTAGATGATTCCATCGTGTCCAAGTGGTTTAGTTTGCAGGCACCTACAAGGTAAACTGAGGTTCGAACCATTCTTCCTGCAGAAAAAAAATAGCCTTTCCTGGCTGGCTGAGTAACTGCAGCTGCCCACGTACAATGACTTCTTCGATCTTTCATTCTCTCGATCCTGTTAAATTAGCACACAGTATCAATGTAGTGTCCTTTAGGGTGTACTAAAGCTTTTCCTTTATTGGCTACACAGATAATCCTAATGCAAATATGATAATCGCACACAGCAGTGTGCATCACTGCTTAGAAAATTAAAACTAACTAACCCTTTTCTTTGGGAAATCTAAATAGCTTATTGTTGTAGCTGTCGATCCGTTGTGTGAACCTAGCTTGCACATACTGTATTTTTTTTAGAGAAAACGTAAATTGTGGTCTGTGCCTAATGTTTTCATAGCACATGGAATAGGTCAGTGCTACAGGATTAAAATAATTACACTTGCTTTAAGAGAAATACTTCTGTGCAGTTGTTGAATAGCTGTTTGTTAGACAAGTGTTCTTGGAGGAGGTGAACAAGACAGTTTAGTATTAAATACAGGCAAAGAGCTTCAGTATTTCCTTTTTGTACTGAACTGATTTTCAGGTCCACTGATGAAATCTTTTTTATTTTGCAAGGGCACACATTAGGTTTGTGTAATAAATTGCCAGGGGTTCAGATGCATGCCAATCAATAAAATATTTAAATTATTATTTTGAACCAAATGTAATTTTCTTAGATGGTTATTGGCTTTTAAAAAAGGCCCAATTATTGATTATTGGTGCCTTTTAACACTGCACTATTACTCCTTCTTTCACCAAAATGCATATGTAAAGATTGTGCCTATTACTTTTTGTAATGGAATCTAACCATGCTTGCACACTTGGGGTTTGACTCTAGATCTCCCTTAATTATGTATTCTTTGTTCTGTTGAGGTGGTTCTGAACCCCTGTACATTTTTTAAACCTGTAAGAAAGTTGAAACAATGGAATAAAGTAGTATTATGTATATCAAAACCAGCCTTGGCTTTAGTTCCCTGATGTTATGTTCCATTCTCTGTGAAAGTTTCTTTGGGTTAGGACTCAAGAGTGAACGATTTAAAATCCAGACCTCAAAAGCTGCTTATTTGCCGTCTTAAACATCTGTATACTGGTTTCTAGCATTGCACAATCTTTAAAGCAGATTGAAATATGACTTGAAACATTCCTCTAGCTAAGCTGAGCTGTTGCTGGCAATTAGCCCTGATAGATATTATGGAAAAACAAGTAATATTCTTTGCACGTATCTCATAATGCTCCATGTCTACAGGAATGTGTCGTCTGCCTTCTTTTGAAAAGTTGCTGTTTATTTCAGAAGGCTCTTTTTGGCTGACTGCTGCTCTATAAGGTTGTGTAACCCCATCTCTTCTTACAAACATGCTCGGATTCATTACGTTTTGTCATTATTTTGTCATTGTTTCCTGCTTAGTAGATCCTCAACATGCTAGACTTAGACAAGGAACAACGAAGTATCTCCTTCCTCACAACTCACGGGGCTGGTTTCATACCAATAAAGTAGTTTTATATCTGTGTGCTCCAGACTTGGACGCTTACTGCTTCTGGTTTTTGTTGGCATTCCTGGTAATAAGTTTCTATGGGACCTCCTGAAATTCAAGAAAAGTTCTAGAAAATGCTTGAAGTTGAAGTAACCTTTTATTAAAATCGAGCAGCACAGCCTGGAGGTAGCAGATGCATTGTTAGCGTGGTACTGTAACTACAAATATGTAGAAATACACAAGCTAACTCATTTGTATCAGTAGTGCCTTAGTTGTACCCTGCTAGTTTAACCTCAGCGAACAGAGTTGATACGCAGCAGCTTGAAGCTTTATTGCCTGCAAATGGTAGGTCAGAAAGGGAGCTTCACTGCAGAGGCTGCGGCACAAGGTTTACTCACCAGCCCACCGGCTTCTTGCCCTAAAGGGCAAAGTTAACAAAACTTTTCTCTCTACCAGTGTGGTTGAGCTTGTGGAGTTGTCAGGTGAACTAAAGGTTTCCTTTTTCCTCAGGCTGTCCTCCGAGGGAGAGAATATAGTAGAAAATCCAATACCCTGCAAACAAATCATAGGTTCCCAAGTTCTTTGCCCTTTTGGAGGGGGTTGTTTCTTAAACATTGGCTTAACGTTGTCGGAACAAGAAGGCTAATTTGCTTATATGGACCCCAAATTTCACTTGCTGAAAAGTCACACTTCAGCCTGTTCTCTCTAAATCTGCGTCTCGTGGTCTCCTGGAATCTGTCAAATTAAACATCCTCAGCAGAGTTAAATACTGCATTTCTTCTTGCTGTTTCCATGATGACAGGATTTGACCTGCGGTCAGTCACATGAATTTTTAAATTTAGTAAGCGTGTTTCATTTTTTGAAAGTATTTTCTGAACTCCTGATTTAAAATTTTATTTGAAGGGAGGTTTGTTATTGTTTTACTAATGCTGTCTGAGGATTCCAGCTGGTGCTAAATTCTCTTCCAAAATTATAAGGCTGGACGTTTTGATGAACAAAAAAAGTCCGATAGGAATTCCAGTCACCTGATCTGTCACTTTTTATTTTCATTCTGTCTTTATATACAGTCTCATGTTCTTGTATGAGAATCTGATTAAAGAATGGGACTTCTAAAGCTGGCAGGTGGAGTACATATCCTACTTTCATGTGCCTAAATATCTTTCCTTTGTGAAATGCTTAGTAAATAGATGACCAGACACTGACCAAAGAAATAGATTTGATTAAATAATTGTTGATAATATAGGTAATAATGAAATCTCTCAATATACAGGTACGTGGAGAGAGTTGCTAAAACTTTAGGGTCCTATTAAAAAAAAATAACAAAAAACATGTAAAATATTAAATAAAAAGATTAAAGTCAAGAGGTATGCCTAATAGGTAAGCAAAACAAATATATATATAGATATATATCTCTTTGTATGGGTATGTTATGTTGTGCCGTTACATTTCTCTTGAATACTTATGCTTGTAGTGTAACATAGGCTATGTCAAGGTTGATTGCTTTACCGTTTTTGGAACCTCATGTCCTCAGCTGAAGGAAAAGTAAAAAAAAAAAAAATTGTGTAATGGCAGCAAAAGGGCTACCAGAAAAGTAGTATTTTCTTCACCAAATTATACGTGTTTCCTTATTTTCTTGAACGGCCAAGTGAATTTCTCCTTAAAATACTATTCTTTAAAAGGAAAGAAAGCTGTAGTAATGAAAAGCACAATGCAGTCTTTTAGAAGTTTACTTATTGTCTTATAGTAAGATTATTTTTTGCCCCCATTTCTGCTTAAGAATCCATTTTGTAATTGCATGGTAAAGCATCAGTTATCATGCTAGATTTATTTTTGTGCAGAACCTTTGTGCTTGCTCTGCTGAAAAGTTTGGAGTGTTTCGCTTTATTGAGCTGCCTTTCATAGGTACAGTTTACGAAGACCTTTTAAAAATATCATTTATATTGTTTTATAATATTTAAAAATTCACTAGTGTTTGAAACAGAATATCCATAATCACACTTAGTTTTTACACTCAGCGATACTAATAACATGTCTCTTTTTTGGTAAAATAACTTACCAATCAATATCAGATATTGGCTGTTGAGAAAAGTGTGTCAGTGTAACAATTAGCTGTTTCATTAGCTATTTCATCTTCCATACAACGAATTAAGTTTAACTATAAACAAAAGATAGTTGTTGCAACAGGGTATCAAGTTGATGGGAAATGCATCAGATTTAATGCTATCTCACAGCTGATTCTCAACATGAACGTATTTCATCTTTCTGTATTACAGTTGTAGCCAAGCAAATAAATATATCGGGTTTGGGTTTGTTTTTTGTTGGTTTTTTTTTTAATGCTGCTGCTTGGATGCTGAGAATCTGTATCTCTCAATCCAAGGCACTGCTCATGGTGGGAATGTCCCTTTAACAGATCTCAAACTCGGTTGCAGCGTGCCTAGCAACATGATGGTCCTGGAGCTGACTTTGCCAAGGAGCAGTGCCAGAGGTTCACAAGGCCAACATTGCTGTGGGGGAAGAATGTCAATGAAGGTGGCAGTGGCCTCCCCAGCTATCCTCCAGGATCAGCTAATTTGCAGATCTTTCAGGGTTTTTTTGTCACACTCACTGAAAGGATAAGTTTAAGCCTTTTTCTTCATCCCTGCCCCCTGTTACCTCTGTCTCTCTTTAGGCTGTTTTAGGGATGGAATGCTGCATCATCCTACTAAAGAACTGAATTAGCTGTATTTTGTTGGTGGTTTTTTTTTTGATTAAAATATTTTATGTATGTCATGTGAATGGCAAAACCAAACGCTACT